AATGAGGAAATATGATTTACAAATAATACAAAGCCAGGTATGGTGGCACATGCTTGTAATTCCAGCTACTTAGGAGGCTGAGGCAGGAGGATCATAAATTTGAGCCCAGCTTAGGTAACTTAGCAATTTTAAGGAGACCTTATCTCAAAATAAAAATAAATTGAAAAGGGCTGGAGATGTAGCTCAGTGTGAAGGACATTTGACCCCACTACCAAATGAACTAGCAAATAAATAAATCCAAACAAAATAAATACACTGTCGTGATTAAATTAGTTCTATATACACTGTCATGAGCGTGTTAGTGCCCTTACTAAAGAAGCTCCAGAGAGCTCTCCTGGCTTCTTTCACTCTGTGAGGACACAGGAAGAAGACTGCCTTCCAGGGGCCAGTACATGAGCCTTCACCAGACACCACATATGGCAGCACCTGGATCTTGGACTTTCCTAGTTTCAGAACTACGAGAAACAAATTTTTGTTCATAAGCCACCTAGATATGGTATTTTGCCATAGCAGCCTGAGTGAACTAAGACAGATACAAAAGAAAATGTAAAAGCATCTAATAGTTTACACTTTTCTAAATATCAAATCTATTTTAAGAGCAAGCAAAATAGAATATTGTGACGTGACACACCATAGTTATAAGCCCCAAGACAATATTGAATGTTGCTAATCAATTAATTGTACAGGAATCAATTATATCCAGATATTAACGTAATTCATTTTGAGAAAAATTTATTTTTAGTTTCCTTTAATGATTCTAATGAGTCTACATCTACATTTCACTAATACAATAAAGCTAAGGTACTTCTTAAAATGTGTTACTGTAACTTGCCAGTTCCACTTGCAATACTTTGGCTAATAATACAAGTATATTGGATAATCAAACCAAACCATGTATGTTTATTTGATAGAGTCCAAAGGATCCTTATTTTGTAAATATGATATAGGATTTACAAATGCAAGGTCCCACATATATTTATACCATAAGACGAGACTTAAATGTTGACTTTTCTGACAGGTTAACATTCATATTATTCATACCATTCATTTAAATATAGGTCTTATGGCACAGCAAAGTTGAAACAAAATTAGAAAAGAAAAAGAATTTATACAGACCACGTAAGATAACAAAACATCACATCTGAATTTCAGGAAAAGTCATGTACCTGTTATCTCATGAATAGGGAACGTCAAAAAGTATATTTTGATTATGCATCCCTGTAACAATAAATGACATCAAAAAAATCTGAAAACCTTAAACACAAAAACACATTGATTTGATTTCCTTACAGACCAATCGCAGTGTGTATGCTAAGCATACACAAGTGATATCACAATGTGCTAGAAAGAAATGTAGCAGCTTTAGGAATTACAGGAAACAAGAAAGTTTAGAAACAGAGACAGAGAAGTTCCATACAGTTTTTTTCTACAACTCATTGTATTATTTCAATAAATGTCCATTGCTCTTCCCCCAATTGCACTGTCCACTTCAACCTTCTTCTTTGTATTTATTTACCTTCTCCAAGGTGGCCCGTGATATACTTAGGTCATGAAAAATGGAAAATTCAAGACACAATTAGAAAAATGTCCAAGAAATACAAGGGTCAACAAAAACAAAAACAAACTTCCTGCCCTCATGGAGCTTACACTCTAATAGGTAAACTTGACATTAAATAAAATCACACATATAAACGCACAATTAGAAGTATGATTATTGTGAAGGAAAAGTACAGACCTCTAATTAAAGCACTAACATTTAATTGACAATTATTAACCTGTGTTCTTGAACTATGAAGCAATTGTTAAGGCTAGACTTGCTCATAAATTATTTTGACTTTTTCTGATTTAATTTGTCATTCATTTCTCCAGAATAGTCATTAGAGTAAAATTTAAACACACAAACAACTATTGGAATGAAATGATCATACATAAAAGGAAACACAAAGGAAAAAGAAAAGAAGAAACATTAAATTGCTAGGAAGGTAGATGAACCTGAATTCTGAATAGAAAGGAGAACAACGTTAGCATTACAGTGATCCTAACAATATCACTGGCCAATTTCTAACCAGAAAAGAACACAAAGAAAATTTCACGAAGACTATTTGAATCCATCTACCCAAACCAGCCAGCAGGAAGGTTAGCTCTGGAGAGTATGTCCTCAGCTCTCCAAAGAAAACTACAATTCATTTAAATGAAGTTTTATTCCTAGTCATACATATCCAGTTGAAGGTGAAACAGCTTTATTTGGAAATCCTGAAAACATATCTCAATTACTGACAAAAGTTCAAAACAGAATAACCAATTGAAGATACTAGGCAGTATGGCCCATGGAGAATTGGCCAGCTTGCACTTCCTTGGTTTGGATTCTGCCAGCACATAACAGAGATCCCTAACACATCTCTATCTGACTTAGTTGTCTGCCACATCCAAATGGTGTTTTACAGCCCTAAGATACTATGAACAGGGAAGAACCCACACCAATTCTCCAAGGGCACATCACAAAGTAACACAAGCACTCGCCTCTGGAGAGAGGAATGAAGAGCATGATGAAGAAATTTATCTAAAGGATGGCTCTTTTTACATATATAACTATTCCTTAATGGAATGCAATAATGTATCCCTGGATATTTAATATTTACACAGTATTAAGAATTCATACAGAAGAAATCAAAATGATAATGTTATTGAATCCAATTTCACTTCCTGATTCATTAAAGTTGACAGTGTATTCTAAAGTCACTGAATTCACTGCTCCACAGAGAAATGGTGTAGAGAACAGCAATACAGGATGATACAATGTTGTAAAGATCTGGAAAAAGGGAGCTCACAATACAAACCAGTCACTTTACACTGGCCAGGTTTAACACCTACCTATTGTATGTATAACTAGGATTTAACCTGATGAAGAAAGCTACAATGTAAAGTTTTAGACATTTTTAGCTCCTCCACCAGGAGGTGCAAGGCAGACAGATACATACCTATAAGAGACCTTGATTCATATTAGTTTTTACTTGTTTCTCAAGTTCTACCACTCTGCAATAATCCCACAGCATCTCTATTATGTCCCTTATACTAACTGAACACATTTTTACTTCCTGCTATACTGGCATTCTTTAAAAATGTTGCCATGTAATAGAATAACATTTTGCTCTACAATGTAGACTAAATTAATTTGTGATTACAGAAGACAGACAAATCACTGTTTCTTATTTCTAGGTACCCCATTAACCAATATATAATGGTGACCAGTCTAATTTTCAAAATACTGAAGTCTATCTTAAAATCGCATTTCCCTACTTAACATCAAAAAGCATCCTAGTCCCATCAATAAAAGAAAAATCAATGGAAAAATCAACTTCACGCCATCTGTAGCTTTGTGCTGATTAGGGGACAAAATCTGATTAAAACTGGCAAAAATAAAATGTAATGTTTGGTACACCTGTCAAAAAAAAAACATTTAAAACTGATACAGTAAAACTGAATGAAGCAACACTCAACATTAATTGCACCAAAACTAGTATGAGCTGAGTACAAACATGAGCTATTCCACATGTAGTATTAAATGGTTATATAATTAGAAAATTAACTTACTTTTTCACAAAAAAATGAATATGAGTTTGCATACTTAGAAATTTGTGTGCATACATGGATTCACTCATACATATATACACAGGCAGATATACAAATAAATGTACTTTATTCAGCTAGTAAAACAGAAAATATAGTTCCCCCTAGGCCATCCTTTTTCTGTTCACTAAATAACACAGCCAGAATACCACTTCAGAGTTAGCAGTCAGTCAATGGGAATTTGGTCTCAAATAAAACCGTCCAGGAAGCACCCCAAATTCTATATTAAAATCTTTTTAAAAATTGATATATGTTATTTGAATGTTACTAAAGATCTGAAATGAAATTTAATTGTGTTATTACTAGAAATTGTTGACCAAAACAAAAACTACAGTAGCATATGTTATTGATTCAAAGTATCCAAACAGCATTTGTTTCTAAGGCTCTATTTTACACATTTAAAACATTGATACCATTTCTTATTATTTGGCTCATGTTTAGATGCTTTCTCAAGCTGAAAAGTTTCTCTGCTAGATGACACAAATGTAAAAGTGTAGAACTGTAAGCTGTGGTCCCAATTCACTGTGTTAATATTTACAGCATAAGAAAGAGTCATAGAATACTTCCTGAATTTGAAATGATAAAAATTTAAACACTGGAGACCAAGGGCACATTTACAAAATGGTTCGATATTATTCTATACATTTGGTATGGCTGCATATCACCCACTTTCTTCCAAAGATAACACTAAACACAATGCGGATGGTTCTAAATAGCAAGTTAGACATGCTTCCGAGTTCTGTACCAACACCAGCAAAAAGCATACATGCCTGACTTACCAAATGATGCAGGAATATATAGCTGTCTGATAATGCTCTTACAGTTAGTGCACATAAAAAACAGGCTTGTTATGCTTCTCTTTTTCATGACAGTGTCTACTGAGGTTACCATGGAGGTAATGTGCACACAAGACACAGCAGATAACAGGTGAGGAACCCACAGCAGTGCCATTTCGCTGCCGCACATGCTTAGACTTACATACAGCTCAACAGCTGGGGCAGGTGTGCTAAACCACAGCCAAATGTTTGCATTGATGGTTACCACATTCATCACTGAACTACCACTACATAATAATGCAGAAACTGACACAATGACCTGGAGCTAATTTCTAAATACACTAATTATGTAAGCAGCTGACATGAAAAAATATCACTCCACAAAAAACAAAAAAGAAAGAAAAAGGAGGGGGTGAAGGACTGTGGAACAGTAATATTATGATGAATTTTTCTTACCTTAAATTTATAAATATTCACTAATACACATACCTACCTCCCAGTGCCTATTATCAATGCCAAAATGGCTAAATATATTTGCATAACTTAGACACAATATAATTTATACAGATGATATTTGGAAAAAATATAATGTAATACCTTTACTTTTACCTATGCATTTGATGAAATGGTTCCATGAAGAAAGGTGTTCCAGACAAAGAGAATAGAGAAGAGAAAAACAACAATAAGAATTATGAATATATGTAAATGCACTGCTCTCTGAAAATTAAACAAGACAAGAAATTACAGATAAGGTTTTAAAGACAAATGAAGAAGCAATCAGTACATTTTGAGAATTCTGCCCTTTAAAAGTCATGTGCATGCAGGAATTGGAAGGCCCATGCTGGTTATTAAACATTACACAAAAGGAAGGCACACATAACTATAGGTAGAAGTAATATTGGTTCCGTGGAACACTACATTCAGCATTCTAGGAGCCAAAAGCCAAAGATTCTGCATGTTTCCAAATTGCCATGCATGGATGAAAAATGGACTTTCTTTGTTACTGTAGGTCAAACTAAGTATGTTCTTTCAGATACTAACTTAACACCTTTCTTGGCCCTTTTTTTTTTTTTTTTAACTATAACAACCTTTAACTGGATATGCTGATAAATGTACACAGATATTCAGTCACAATTTGTTATGTCTCATTTATTTGCAGATATTATAGTGCAAGAAATGAAGGAAAATAAAAGTCACAGGAGCAAACCAAAATCAAACCACAAAATCAAAGCGAGGAAAAAACATCAGACAATGTGAACAGAAGCTATGTATTTATTTTGCAGCCAGAAAATTTGCAAGCATGTGCCCATCCTTTGCAGAGATGGCTGGAAAGCAGCTACAGAACAAGACACTGAAGCAGAGTGGAAAAGGAACAGAGCCCATACCTTGGTCGCCCATCATCAGGTGCGCCAGACCTTGAAGGGAAACAAGAGCACAGTCAGCAATAAACAAGGGAGCACGGGAAGGCAGGCTTGTCACAGTGACAAAAATGTTCAGTGACAGACATCTTGTTTCCTATGAGACGTGTCTGTACCACAGATGCAAATCAAAAAGCATTCTTTCAACCCCTGGTTGGAATGCTTTGGGGGAAAGAGTTATAGAACTGTAATTTAAACACTGGCATATGCTGCACTGTGTATTTTTTCTAAGTATCATTTGGAACAATCATAAGCTCTTGACTTAAAATCCAACCAGTCCCTTAATACTCCATATGCCCTTTGTGCCTTTTGATGACACTGTTTTGAACACTGCTCCCATTGGACTTGTCATTCTTCAGTGATGAAACTGCATTTTTTAAAATCCCAAAGGAATGCCTGAAATATGGGCTGGGTCTGATCTTTTTCCCCTCATCAAAAATGAGAAGTTTCATAATTAAATGGAAAAAAAATCCTTAGTCACAGTGAAAATGATAATGCAGCGATGTCTCCTTGTCTCACACATGTAGAGACTGATTAGGCTTATTCAAATTAAAAAAGATCATTATACATGCAGTTGTGAAGTTAGAATTTACTATAAAATATTGTCTTTAAGAATGCATCATTCTTAAATAGGCTCAACTAGTTTTCCATGGAGAATAAAATTATTTAGCATTTTAATTAAAGATTAAATGGTGAATTGTAAGTTAAAGTTTAAGATACAATTTCATCAAGAAATGTTTTTAGTACTAAAATCCTTTTACTTATTTCCTGCTTAACACTTAACTTTAAAGATCATTTCTTTTCTGAAAAGTACTGCAAATACTCCTTTAAAAAGGTCTTTCACTATCAAAATACTATTATTTACTGAAAAGCAGTGCATATTCCTTACTATAAATTCATAAAGAAAGATATTTCTTAACCTATATATATTTCAAGAATTTGTGGAAATGGAGGAGCGATACAGTATGGATACATTAAGTTTACTAATTTGTATTTTAGATTCCTAGTGCTATTTCAGATATATTTGAAACTTTAATACAGCTATAAAACATTATGTATTAATTGCATCAATACTAAAATAATCTTTGTTTTCTTAAGCTTAGGGGTATACAAACATCCTTTGGGAGTAGAAATAATTATAAATTCTCATAAAAATAAAATATGGAAATAACTTAACAAAATAATTTGATGTTTCTGTAATATAGCCTCTGTGTTTGGTCAAGTGTTTTTACGAAAAATGCCCACAGGCAAACTAAAGGGTTTATGATCTGCTAATGACACACAATATTTTATAGGGTGAATAAGAATGGTTGATTAGTCCAGGTTTTGTAATTTTTCATTTAACTTTTAAAACTATACATACATACACACATACACATTTCTATGTATATATACACACATTTCTATTAACAAGTTACTACTTTTTGTAGGCTAAATCAGGGAATTATCTGTGATAATATCTAACGTTTAGAAAATATTGTTAGACATTTCTAATGGTTTTGATGCTGTATGAATCAGGGTGAAATTTAATAAACCCCACAAGTGCTCACACTGCCCCATGGACTTCTTGCCTCTAAGGAGAGCTCACTACATTCTCAAAGCCTTCTTATAAACAAGGATATTAAAATTAAGATTGAGTAAACTTTATTGCAATAATTTATGAAACTATATTCTGAGAATCTTATCAAAACTTTGCATGGAATGAATGTGAGAACAGAAAGGCATTAACCTAATTAGACTTATTTTAAAAGCTCCTTGGATTGCAATCGGCTTTAAAGAGAAAAAAAAAATGGAACATTTTACAGGATGGTTAAAGAAATATAAAAGAGGTTGAAAAGGTTATCTTTTACAAATATCTTTCAAACTCAATTTATATGCACACTATAAACGAGACTGATTTAGAAAAATATCAGACTTGCACAGTAATACCAACTTTATCAAGTGTAAACTCACATGCCATTAAAATTGAAAGACAGAAAAACAGAAGCCATTCACAAAGCCCAACATTAGGAAAGAAGATTTATTATTTCTTTTGAAGTTTTAGCCTATTTTGCTTAAATAACAGAAATGGTTAGTAGCAGTTATAACACTGTCCATGAGAGAATCACAGATAAGATGTTGAACTCTGCTACCAATCAACTCTGTGTATCATTAAGTATCCTTTTATTTCGAAATACTAAGTCTTGGTGATGTTAATGGCAATTTATCTGTAACTTCAGCCAGGGAGTCTTTTTGTAAGAAATTTTTCATTCTGTAGAAATGCACATATTTTACACAATGATTATATTTAAAAATGACAGCAAAATAAAATGTGCTAAATGTTGTCTTCTGCAAAACTGATGATGGAAGAGTGTTTATGCTGTGATTATGTAAAATGATACAATGTGTGTAAGATGAACATTCCCTTTCACAAATCTGTTGTTATATCTAGTTCTCTTTGTATTTGTATCCTCTAAAGATTTGGTGGCAGCATGTTGACTTACAAATTTAAGTAATTTAAAAATAAAAATGCTGAAATACATTTGTTGTATTCTACAAGAAAATGTATAACTGTCTGAAAATTCCTTGACAGAGAAAAATTTTTTAAAGTTGAATTAAATGTTACAGTTTTAACAGACACAGACTATTACAAATTTACTTACCAGTAATCACACTGGAGTGCTGTGTGCCTTCCTTTGCATTGGCTGTGACTTCTTTTTAAGCTAAATTTGTTCCTCTTATTTATAGTCAATATTTTATTCTATGCTCTTTTTATAAATGAAATCATGTGAAACAAAGCAATGAGCTTGAAATGATATAATGCTGAACAGTTCCAACAGAAAAGAAATAAAGAAAAAAATGGAGAAAAGATCATGCATTGTGTCCTGAAACTGCAAAGAAATACTTTCCCTCTTAAAAAAAGTAGCATTACATCACTTTTCCATATAGAACACAGCAGGTAGTATCTTACGGTTCATAAAGGATGCTGAAATCCTCCGAGCCTTGCTTTGAGACTGAAGGAGTTTCATACACTGGGGGCCCACAGAGATCAGAGTGGGTGTGTTCTATATGAAAAGTGATACACGTTCCAGAAATCAACAAATGCTCAGAAAGAAGTTGAACTTACCTTCTAGGTTTAAGATGTACTCTATCAATACTAAGAAATAAAAGGCAAATGAGAGTTGGAAAATAAGGTAGAAAGCACCCACCTTCCACATTGTTGTCTTCTGAAAGCACATGACAAGGAGGGAGAGAAAAGGAAAAACATTCATTAAGCAGCATGCAGACTGCACCCTGCCTCTGCATGTCTTCCGCATGCAAGGCATCAAACACATCATGCAGTGCTCCATCACTGTCATTCAGGGCACAAAACCACAGGGAGCAGGTAGGTCCCTCTCGTTGGCAGCATGTGCAGGGCATGAGACAAACTTCAGTAATACTGCCATGTCCTGAACAAAGGGTTTTAGAGTTTTTCACTGCCCTGTGTAAAGTAAGCATTATTGTTATTACATATTGCTGGCAGGGACTTTTCAAGGAATTATTTTTAAAAGCTTCATTTATTTATTTATTTATTTATTTAGCAATTCTAAAAGGACCTATATCTATATATTGATTTAGATTAGGATAAAAGAAAAATCAACTGCTATGAAATTTCCCTGAAAGTTACTCTGATTCTACCAAACATATTACCAATTGGACATTGCTGCCTTTTACTATTGCTAACAACTGATTTCCTTAAAGAACCACAACATAAATTCATACAACTAAAATCGACAACTCATTTGGCTTACTTTATATCACAGTCACTTTATTGCACATGATGATAGTTCAGTATAAATTATTAAAATGCTAACTCTTAAAGAGTAAAGTAGAAGGACTAGGGGTTTAGCTCAGTGGGAGAGCGCTTGCTTGCTTAATGTTCACAAGGCCCTTGGCTCCACTCCCAGCACAACAAAGAGGAAAAAATAAATGTTAGGTAAAAAGAAGTGAAATTGCAAAAAAATTTATGTGGGAGCTATCCATTAGGCAACATTAGTCATAAATTATCACTTTGTACTTCTATTTAGGATGTGAATATTAATGTAATTAAGCCAATATCAAAGATGAGTGGTTTCCTTTCGTAATTCTGTGCATCCATATAACATTTACACACATAGTATATTCAGTCAGTCATATTTCCTTATGTGTACATACATGTATGTATGCAAACACACATACGAGCAGAGTTTATGTGTACTTCCTAAATCTAATCTTTATAAGTGTATGGTGTCTAAACTACCATTAGTATTAGAAATTCACATATGATTTGAGACGAAAGGCTTGGCAGTTGAGCTACACAAGAAGAAAAGGCTATCATATGGGGCTAGAGCAAGAACAAAGACTCAATATTTATAGAAAATTTTCAACAGCTAATTATATATACACTAATTTAATATATACTTTATAATAATGTATATAATTTATATAATTTAATATATACTTTTGTTTTATATTAACTGCTCTTTGAAATTATATTTCCTATTTATAATGCTTTTCCAAATAAGATTATTTAATGTGTAGCATGAAATAATAAAGTACGGGAATTCTGAAGGAAATTAAGGACCCAGACAGTCTGTCAATGACTATGACAGTAATTAATTTCTGTAAGCAAAAGACTGGCAAATAGAGCCGTGAGTAGCAGAGTCACGGTACTGGTTTTGGTAATGTGCTGCACAAAAGTGTAACAGAAAAACAAAGTAACTTGACATCCACTTTAGAAACATGCTAAGTAGTGCACTCGGGAAAGAAATTTATTCGTAAGTCCAAGTCACTGACTCAGCCCCAAGCCCAGTGTTTGCGTTCCACATTAACTCAGGCACAGGCCCCAACTCGGGAAATACATTCAGCCCTGCCTCCCAGCTTCTTTTCTAAGTTCTTATTCAGAAAGAGAACAAACTTAAAGAACAGGACTTCTTGGAAGTGTATAAAGCTGAGTCCTGCCCAATGTGTAAACTGATCCTGATCTGATTACATACATATTAAGGTAAAAGGACAGGCGATATACTAACTGATTTTTTAAAAAAGGGATAAAACTGGCAGAGAACAGACTTTCCTTGAGTTCCTATAAATTTTCAGAATTAATCACAAGATTAAAAATTTACCAGAAAGACATTGTTTTCTTATTTCCTTCTGTTCTATCCATTTTGGTTACCATTTGCTGGCTTCAGATAACTTAAGTCTTCTTAACCTAAAGACAGCCTCTGCGCTGTTTCAGAAGTTGGACTTCATCATTATTCATGATAGATCTAGCATTTACAATCATTCTCCAGGTATTTTTTCTCCTTCTTCTAGTCATTTCTAGAGTAAACAGTGAATGGCGAGTGAGAGGAGAACAGTTTTCCCATCACTTCTGCCTTATGTTTGTGGATTGGTAGATCACCAGATGCTATTTTGTATTTGAGCAGCTACAAAGAGAGGCACTGAATTTCAGCATGCCAAGGTTAATGAGAAAGGAGTATGTTTTGGTTTACTGGAAGGAAGAAAGCAATCCTTTCGGTCTTACCTGCAGACATTGTCAAATTAGGAAAAGTAAGTCTTAATTTGCAGAAAACCCTGGCTTCTTCAATCTCCGGGCCTAATCCTCACTCAGTAGATGAGTGGGCCTCTTTAATAATCAACAATACTGTGATGAACATGCCACCTATAAAGACCATACTCTTCTTTGCTTTTGACTACAATAATGAGACCAAAGCCATGGAAGGGCTACTTTAAATTTTAATTCTTTCAGACAGTCACGCTTATGCTTCCCTAAGTACCAGAATATCAGTCACGTTAACAAACAATGGCTGTGGTCTGACATGAAGAGAAGCAACACATTGTTAGAACTGTTATCCTTTTACATTACTGCAAGAGTATCTCCATATTTTTTTCCTTTGGAAGGACATTAATTAAAGTTTATCATGACAGTGTTCTTTGCATATAATCTTAATTATATGTTCCTAGGAAAAGAATAAGAAAATGAATGTACTTGTTTCAGAATAAAGAAAATCAGAAACTTAATGATGGCCAGTGCACAAGTTAAAGTTTGGAGTAAAATGTCATGAATGACTCTTCAATATAATCAGTGTTTAAGTTTAATAATATGAAAGTGTTATCTAAATATACAGCAGTGGGCAATCTGGGTGCTACAGCTCACATTAAGAACTGGCCAAGGAGCAGGCAGCCCCACCTGGTCACTCCTTGCCTGTGATTGTCTGCTTTCATTTTCCTGCATACTCCCTCTCTGCCCCTTCAAAATTGCCCCTACTGCAGGTGACTTGTCACCCAAATCCATGTTCTCCAAGATGGGGTACATGGCAGCAAAACTAGAGGTGGCAAGGGAACAAAGATCAGATTCTTTCTAGGCCATCACATTACTTTTAAGACGTTAGCCGAGATTTGGGAGATTAAATGCCAAAATAGTACTCTCATTCCCAGGGTAGCAGAGGATGGAGCTCTGGTTCACTTTATTTTTCTTTTCGTGTTAGCAGTGAAAGCCTTTAGAAAGCCTCAATAGTCTGGTGATGCTTCAAGGACTGGGAAATGGAGGAAATCATTGAGACTAGATTGATGCAGCCATCAGCCAGAGGAAGAGAAACACTGGCCAGGAGCAAGAGGAAGTTCAAACAGAAAATGAAGCATAAAGGTCCATTATGCAGGGAGACACAGGGGAGGAAAGAAACAGCCCCGGGCAGAAATCTGGCCAGTTTCAAAGTATTTTTGTTTTGTTTTGTTTTTTAACAGGCAGCCTCAGCTCCTTGTTCCAAATCCATTTAAATGAGATTCCAAGGCCTTCCCACCCTGTCTACTTGGAGCCACAGTCCCAGGGCTTTAAGGAGCGAAATGGAGCAGCCAGCCAGTTTACATCTCCTTCCCTGCCCAAGAGTAAAAGAAGGGGCATCTCAACACTGCAGCAGCAGAGTGTTGCTGGCATCACACTTGGAATTCTAGAAAACTTTTTTACAAAAATGTTTGTGGTATTGAATTTAAAATGTTCCATCTTGTTAATGGCAATTATCTAAACGAAGAGAAACAGAGAGGGAAAATAATACACACGGAAAGGAAAAATAGAAGGGATGGAGCGGAAGACAGAGAGGCCTCAATGATAGGGCAGATTCCTCTGGTATTTAAACTGTTTATGAGTTTGATGGAATTTAATAATTATTCATCAACATATTATAAATTGAATAATTCACAAACTATAATTCAAATTTTCATTTCAGGAGTGGCTATTGCAAGGATTTTTAAATATCAGTTTTGTTTTTACAGCTTTGGTTCTTACCTATAGCTAAACCTCCAGTGTTAACGTTTCTATATTCATTTCAGTCACTGGACTTAGGAAAGGAACACAGCCTTTAACAGTGACTGTAAAATTGGTGACATAGTCTATAATGTGTGTGTTCATGCCACTCAGTTTTGTTTGAATTGCTGGCTGAGAAATGAATGCTTTCTGATATGCAGCTGACAGATCAAATCTGTGCTTACCACATACTCTTCTAGCCATGCTCTGTCACCAAGACACAACTCTCCAGAGCAAGTGTGTCAAGTGCACAGGGCTTGCCTTTCTAAGAGTCTGGAGGAAGAGTGTTTTAGAAAGTAGAACAAGAAAGCACTAGGACTCAGGTAGGGGATTAAATTTAAATATACTCCCGCTCACCTTCTCAACCTACCAGTCTTTAGTTCCTGGGAGTCCCAGCACTGAGAACTGACTTTCTTGGTGGACAGATGAACAGCAGATACTCCCTGTCTATACTGCAGCAGAGAATATTCTGCAGTGTGTCTTAGTTTCTCCACCATGGAGATGGAGAGTAAATGTTCACTAAAGGAGATCAATGATTCAGCATTTGAAAGAAATAATCAACATCTAGTATCTACTAGAAGTGCTTTTTTGTTTTTACAAATCATTTTACTGCAGAGATTTTTCAAGTAAACACATTCAAATACTTCTAACTTTATTCATCTGTCCTTAAGTTGTCAGATAAGCCCCAAATACATCTATTTAATTTCTCTAAGAAAAAACAAAGACGATTTTGAGATGAAGTTCAGAGCAATTTGCACAAAATATGACTAAATTAGAATCCAAAAAGAAGTTCAAAGTTTAGTACTTAACAACCTCAATTTATATACATTGTATAAAAAATAACTTTATATAATATGACCTGTCAATTATACATTCTTATATCTAAGAAAAAAATTGAATCTTATTTCA